TTAAAAAAAAAAAAAATCGCAAGTTTAGAAATCAATAGCTCATACTCTCACTAGTGCTGGTGGTTTGAAAGACCTCCTGAAGAGAACCGGTATGCGCCCAGGTCGAAATGCGTCGAGGGTACACGCATGTGTACGGCTTTTGGATGATAAGGATGGTGTGGATGTTGGTGCTTTGCATACTTTTGTCTTCTATCCGTTTAAAACTTTCAAAAAGAAGAAGAAGAAGAAGAAGAAGAAGAAAGAAGAAAGAAATCATTAGCTCTTCAAAAAAGATTCACCAAAACTCATAGCTCTCCCAATAGGGCCAATACAAAGCAAGTCACCATTAGAGCCCTCAATCGTGCCGGGAAAATGGCGGCCACCCCTCACTCTTATCCTCCCTCCCTTATTTCCCCGGAGGTCTCGTCCCCGAAGGTCAGGTCATCCTCTGCTGCTGATTCTTTCACTCGCCTTCCTCCCTTTCCCCGTCCGTGTGCCTCCACAAAGTTAAGAAAAAATAATACTTCTTCCAAGTGATCAGCGAATTATTTGAACTTCGTAACTTTGTAAAGTTTGTATCCAAAGTCACTAATTGGGGCATAATATACTCACGCCAGGAGTTTTCCCAGTTGTTTGTGGATGTAATTGTGGTCAGGTGCATCCAGGCCGGGTAGCAATAGCAGTCGTATACTTCCAGGAAAAAGTCGTAGTGACAGTATGCCCTTCGTTGGCTGACGAATTCCACTACTGTCTTCACCCGATAGAACGCCCGGTCATTACAGCTGTATTTGGTGCAACTTTCAGTCCAGATACGGCAAAAATGACTGGACGTTCTATTCGGGTGAAGACGGTAGTCATTAGTGCCTTTGATTCAATGACTAGTGCAATCTGTCAGTCAACGAGGGGCATATTATACGTACTTATGGACGTAATTGCGGTCATATACATCCAGGTCGGGCCATAAATGCGGTCGGATACATTTAAGATAGAGCAAGTGTGAACGCGCGCAAACACTTTTTCGATTTATCAAAAGAACATCCGTCTTGCAGTCTTCCAAGTCGCCGACTGAAAATTGTCAGTTTTTTTTTTTTTTTTTTTTTTTTTGGGGGGGGGGGGGGGGGG